ACCAAAATGATTTGATAATAAATGATATAAGAGATGAATACAAATTTTGGCTCAAAAGAAACTCAATTGAATGCTATAAAGTTGTTGTAATAAATGGTAAGTGAGTTAGTATTTATAGCAATTAAAAACGCAAAATTTTTTGTCCAACCGGGCGTCCGCTATTGTATCGGACGACTAAATTAGCCATTGAGTGTCAGAAATTAGAATAGTTAAAAATTTGACCGTTGGACTACCGAATGTCCGCCATACTGAAAATCTCCATTTTACCATTTTCTTAATTAATTTTGTAAGTGTAGATCCTTTAGGGACATTTTCACTTTTTCAAAACAAGTGTCATTGGTGAAAGAAAGTTAAGTGAAGTTTTTTTTCGTATCGAAAATAATTTTTATGCAAGTGCTTTTGAAAAACGTTTATTTTGTGCATAAAAACTTAAATTATGAGCTTGAAGTGATTCATTGCTAAGAATTAAAGTGTTTTACCTTTACATATGAATTCAAATCATCTACGTCTAATGTCTTCGATTGATTTGGCTTGACTACACGTTTTGTTGCTCGATTTTGAGTTTGGTGAGAATACTTGATTTGTTTCCGATTCTTTTGAAGTGAGTGCTCGATTTCCAAGCTTGATTGTGAACGCTCAATTTCCACCAGGTTCGCAACATGTATCAATGAAAACTTGAATGTAAATGTTAGAGATAAAAATAATTTGTTTGTTATAATCAAAACTCGAAATCAACCATAGGTCAACAATTTCCCCATTTTTGATTATGACAAATAAGATGATTTGCAATGTAAGATATGAACAATTTAGAGGAATATACATTATAAATTTATCGTGCAATTCATGTTCCCCCTATCTTTNAGGTTCGCAACATGTATCAATGAAAACTTGAATGTAAATGTTAGAGATAAAAATAATTTGTTTGTTATAATCAAAACTCGAAATCAACCATAGGTCAACAATTTCCCCCTTTTTGATTATGACAAACAAGATGATTTGTAGAATATGATTAATTCATCTATTATGTAATTTATATTCCCCCAATCTTTATCATGTATTACATGTATTCCCCCTATCTTTTATAAATTGATAACCATGTAAGTAGGAGTTTCTCTTTTTCCCCATTATTTTTCATATACTTTGAGTGTATTATTATCATAAATGAATTATTCATAATCATCTCACTTTGCATTTCCCCTTTTGGCATAAACAAAAAGCATAAGGCTAAACATGGATAAAAAACACATCATTAATCATAAACGAAGATCGCCTTAGATTAGTCATAGAAGCATAAATAAGCCATATCACTAAAATTAAAAATAAGCCATAACATAAGGATTTTAGAGAAGTCATAGAAACATAAGGATAGTTTAGCAACAATGACAAAAACAAAAGAAATCTACGGTGCCGAAGGAGGCGGTGGAGGAAAAAGTGCATAGAAGTGAGTGTAGAAGGCAGTTTGCTGAGCTTGCATGTCCGCTTGCTGTGTTTAGATGGCATCTTACTGAGCCCGAATAGCCTCCTGCTGGACCTGCAACTCCCCGAAGCATCCCACCAAGTCCATCCACCGAAGATGTAAGAGAATCAATATGATCATTGAGGAGGTTGTAGTGATTATCGGTAAATGTGAATCCTCCAGACGAAGAGCGAAGAACACTAGAGGCAGGAACATCGTGAGGTGGGTGTGAGACTTATGGTATATCATCAGCATCATCATCCTCATCATCGTCAAAAGGTAGAGTCGATGGACTCGAAGTGGGGTCGAACCCTTTTGTGTGTGCCAGCCATTGACCATGTTCTTTTACTATTTTCATTATTTAAGGGTTTCAACGTTGATGCTATCAGTAGGGCAAAGTTTAACAAAAGTCTCATCATGAAGTGGAATGTCAAAATGTTTAAAAAATTTTGCAAGAAGCATTCTGTAAGGCAAAGCTTTAAGATGTCGTGTAGAATGCACAAATTTTATGAGACATAGGGCAATAGTTGGAAAGTCAAGTTTTCGCCCAACTAGAAAAGAATCAAAAACAAAAAGATCAAAAAAGTTCACCTCGTCTCGATAGAGATGTCAATGGGCCGAGCCGAGCCCGCTCGGCCCTTAAACCCACGAGATCAGCTCGGCTCGTGGAGAAACGAGCC